ACATGTAAGGATTAATAAATTTAGTAAAGGATTAAAAATGGCACTTTAGGCTGTGTGGTGGTGGCACAAGCCTTTAATCCGAGCACCTTGAAGGCAGAGGCAGGTAGATCTCTGTGAGTTCAAGGACAGCCTGGTCTACAGAGTGAGTTCCAAGACAGGGTCCAAAGCCACAGAGAAACCTTGTCTCAAAAAACAAACAAACAAAAATCAGTTTAAATCTAATGAATGTTTATTGTTGTGCTAGTTGTACCACTTATAATAACCAAGCTATGGAACAAGTCAGTAGATGACAAGATAAGAAAGTGTGTGTGTGTGTGTGTGCACATAAAATATAGTTTTATTTGGCCATAGAGAAGAAAGAAATTATGTCATTTTCAGGAAATGTGGAACTGAAGATCATGGTATGTGAAATAAGCAGAGTCACAGAAATAAATATCTCAAGTTTTCTCTCATTTGTGAAATCTAGATTTAAATGTGAATATGTACATATGTACAGATCTCTGAGATGAAACTCTAAGGGGACTATGAGGGAAAAGGAAGAGATCTGGAGGAGAGGAGATGAGGAAGTCAGGGAAGGTAAGAATGGGAGGAAGAAACTTAGAATATCCAGCAGAACATGATCTTAACTGCATACACACTCATGTGGCATGAAAACAGAGGGGGAGTACTTGAAGAAAGGAAGGGACTAGTGGAAATCAAAGTGTATTTAGTGAAACTTAATTTTCCTCTTTTCATGTTTGTGGTTCTTTGGTTTTGATTTGTTTTTGGTTGGTTCTGTGGAAAGTACTCTACCATTGGGCTATACTCCTCAGCTAGTAAACCATAAAGTTTCTCTTTGTAATTTATAACATTTTCTATGTAAATTTCAGTTTTTACTCTGCAACTTTTGTTACTGATTTGCTTAGCAAACATTTTGGAACCTGCTGTATGCTGTCATTACTTTTCTCACTGATGTTATATCAGTGCGTACAACAGTGCCTTTATGGAACCCACATTGTGGCAAGGACAGGCACATATTACTATGTAATTTACATAAGGTAAAATATTAAAATATTTAGTATGGGATTTGGGAATAATTGGTCTGAAGAAGAGTAAGGAGGGTAAATAGGAAGATAAGGAAGGTTTCAGTAAGAAGGTGATGTCTGAACAAAGGCATGAAGGGCAGTAAAGAGGGAGCAAGCTATTGGTTATCTGGGAAGGAGAATTCCAAATAACATGAAACAATACTACTAAGCTTCAGAATACTACAGACACTCACAAGGAGCTTGATATCAAACAAGTAGGAAGGTGGTGGGAAAAAGGTTGTGTGGGTTCCAAGAGGCCCATTGTAAGGGATGTGGTAGATAATTTAAACCATCAGGTTTTGAGCAGAAGAGAAAGTCTGACTTGGTTTGAAAGGATGCACTTCACTATTCTGCATTGTAGAGGATCAGGGAGAAAGTGAAGAGACCATTCAGGAGGTCTATGCTAGAGCAATAATTCATACAGTAGATAAAGGTGCCACAGATCAGGCTTGTAATGGAGAACATGAAAAGGGGTCACATACGAGACAGATTTGCCGATAGATCTGATAAGAACTATTAAGGAAAGAGAAGTGTCAAAGTTGACCCTAAAATTTTAGGCATGAATACAGTCACTTAATGGACCAGAAATCAAGACAGGATCAGGTAGGTTTTAACACGCTAAGTTTAAGGTATTAGTTTAAGAATCTAAATGATGTTGCCATGTAAATAGGCTGTAAACATACACATTTGAAGTTTAGGTTTGTAATATAGAAATTTAGAAGCTGTCAGCATATAGTTATCATTTAAAGCAATGTAAATAGATGAGCTCTGACTGGAGAGATGGCTCAGAGCTTAAGAGCACTGGCTGCTCTTCCAGAGGTGCTGAGTTCAATTCCCAGGAACCACAGAGTGACTCACAACCATCTATAATGAGATCTGGTGCTCTCCTCTGGCATGCAGGCAGAACACTGCACACATGATAGATAGATAGATAGATAGATAGATAGATAGATAGATAGATAGATAGATAGATAGATAGATGAGCTTACCAAAGAAAAGAGTAAACAAGGAGGGGCAGGGAGATGGCTAAGTGGTAAAGAGCCTGCTGCACAAGTATAAGGACCTGAGTTTGAATCCCAAGAGCCCACATAAAATCAGGTAAGATAGTACAGGTTGGATAGTATAGGAATACCAATGTTCCTATAGTGAGACAGGTTCATACACAAAAGAATCCCTTGAGGCTGGTGGGTCAGCTAGCCTATCACCAAACAGTAGTGAACAACAACAAAACATTGTCCTGAACTAATACCTGAAGTTGTCCTCTGACTTCCATAGATGCACCTGCCTTCACACATGAACATATGTGTGTGCTCATACACACATATGTGTGTGTGCATGTATGCGCACACACACAGCTACACCATGAATAAGGAGGAAGCCAGTTGCTATGGCACACACTGTAATCCCACCTGCTTGGGAGGGAGGCTGAGGCAGGAGGATTGTGAGCTTTAGGCCACCTGGGCAACATTAGTAAAGTCCCACTTCAAAAAACAATTTACAGGGCTATTAAGATAGCTTAGTGGATAAAGGCATTGCTTCTCAACAATGCAAGCTGGAGTCCTGGGTTCCAGCCCTAAAACCCATCTAAAGGTGGAAGGAGAGAAGAAACTCCACAACATTGTTCTCCAACCTCCAACACACATGCAATGACACATGTACAAGAACTTATGTGAGTTTTAAAAATTATAACAAACAAATGGAACAGAAAATGTGTCCAAGGATAGAGCACTTAAGTGTGAAGAAATTGAGAAGTAACCAGTAAAGACTACCAAGAAAGAGCAACCAGAAGATAGAAGGGAAACAAGGAAAGCCAAACAGAAGGAAGAAACTGGTTGTCAGACACTGCTGATATAACAGTTAAGGAGAGTGAGATTTAGTGATTTCATTTAACTAATCTTTTCTTAAATTATATTTGATTGGTAGTGTTATTTCTAGCCCAGGTTCTTTTTTGAATGTAAACCTACATCATTAGATAAATCCACAAAATTGCTTATTGTTGATCTTTCACATTTATTTATTTTGCAGTGCTGGAAGTAGAACCCCTACCTCCCATATGTTAGGCAAGCACAACACCATTGAGCTACACCCCAACCCCAATATCTCTTGTTTAACACTCACTTAGCAAATATGAATTATTCTGTTATTTTTGTATCTTCTGTATATACTATGGATTAAAGATTTGTTATCAACTCATTGAATTACAAGACTACTAAAAGATTTAGTTGTAGTGGGATATGTGTATTTCCTTTGGATGTCTGCTTTGTGAAATGATAGCACCTTACTAAATAAATTGTTTTTACTTTGGTATAATTTTTTTTAAGATTTATTTATTTATTATGTATACAATATTCTGCCTCCATGTATGCCCACATGCCAGAGGAGGGCGCCAGATCTCATCACAGATGGCTGTGAGCCACCATGTGGTTGCTGGGAATTGAACTCAGGACCTCTGGAAGAGCAGACAGTGCTCTAAACCACTGAGCCATCTCTCCAGCCCCCTTTGGTATAATTTTTAGAAAAGTTTAAAATCAACTGAATTCATGATTTTTGAGATATCTTAGATACTGCTTTATGCATATGTTATAATAGGAGCAGCGAGGCTGCATCCCCGGCACCCAGCCGCCCGCGTGGCTGGCTTATGCCCCGAAATAATTACACAGAAACTGTATTCATTTAAATACTGCTTGGCCCATTAGCTCTAGCCTCTTTTTGGCTAGCTCTCACATCTAGATTAACCCATTTCTAATATTCTGTGTAGCCCACGAGGTGGCTTACCAGGGAAGATCTTAACCTGCATCTGTCTGGAGTGGGAGAATCATGGCGACACCCTGACTCAGCTTCTTTCTCCCAGCATTCTGTTCTGTTTACTCCGTCTACCTAATTTTCTGTCCTATTAAAGGGCCAGGGCAGTCTCTTTATTTAACCAATGAAATTAACACAAAACAGAAGACTCTCCCCCATCATGCATACACACAAGTATACAATTATTATTATTATTTCTTCTTCTCCTTCTCCTTCTCCTTCTCCTTCTCCTTCTCCTTCTCCTTCTCCTTCTCCTTCTCCTTCTCCTTCTCCTTCTCCTTCTCCTTCTTCTTCTTCTTCTTCTTCTTCTTCTTCTTCTTCTTTTTTGGTTTTTTGAGACAGGGTTTCTCTGTGGCTTTGGAGCCTGTCCTGGAACTAGCTCTGTAGACCAGGCTGGTCTCGAACTCACAGAGATCCGCCTGCCTCTGCCTCCCGAGTGCTGGGATTAAAGGCGTGTGCCACCATCGCCCGGCATTATTTTTTAAAGATTTTTTAATGTACAGTGTTCTGTCTATATATGTCTGCAGGCCAGAAGAGGCACCAGATCTCATTATGAATGGTTGTGAACCACCATGTGGTTGCTGGGAATTGAACTCAGGACCTCAGCAAGAACAGCCAGTGCTCTTAACCTCTGAGCCATCTCTCCAGCTGTATAATTTTTTTTTAATTTATTTTGTGTGTGATAGTTTACATGCACAGGTCAAAGGACAAATTTCAGGAGTTAATTTTCTCCTCCTACCATGAGGTTCCGGGAATCAAATTCAGGTTGTCAGGCTTGGTGGTAGATGGCTTTATTGAGCCATATTGCCAGCTCTTGTTTGCTGTTGTTTTCATGTTGGGATTTTTGCATGCGTGTGTGTGTGTGTGTGTGTGTGTGTGTGTGTGTGTGTGTGTGTGTGTACCACATACGTACATGGTGCCTTTGGATCCCCTGAGACTGAAGTTACAGAAGAATGTTAGCTGCCGTGTGGGAACTAGAATTTGAATGGGGTCCTCCAGAAGAACAACCAGTGCTTTTAACCTTGAACCATCTCTCCAACCCCTAACCAACCCCTAATAGTTATCTTTGAAATACAGGTGTTGGAAAATATAAGATATTTGAATACTGAAAATGTATGTTTTGTTCTTTATTAGAAATTCATTGAATTTGAAGACTCTCAAGAACAGGAAAAGAAGGATTTACAAACCCGAGTGGAATCTCTAGAATCTCAAACAAGACAACTTGAACTTAAAGCAAAAAACTATGCTGACCAGAGTAAGTAAAATGCTTTTCTCCTCATAAATACTCATTTAAGAGTGGACTACTACGGTGAGTGACTCCCCTGACATTTGACAAGGGTACCAAATATGTGCTTGGAATTGTCATCACAGAATCAAATGTGAGATCTGGGTGCTGGTATTAATTCCTTTTTCTTCCCGTCTCATATGACATCAATATATGTAGAAAAAGCTGAGTCAGAAATACCTGCTAGACTTTTTCAGTTGTGCCGTCCGCCTGTTTGTAGTTAGTATTCTGCTGTCTTGTTATGCAGATACCCATATGTGGAGTTTTGCTGAAGGTGATGAAGTACACACAGTTCCGTTGTTTCTGTATTGCTTTGAAGTTTACTGTATAAGAGAAACTAGCCTTGAAGTATGTAAAAAAAAAATGACTGAAATTTCTTTAGTTCCTTTTTGTTGAAAAAGTAAAGATAATTTGGGGTAACAAATGTTCGTTTTTCAGATTCTTTTTTTTTTTTTTTAACAATATTTTTGGTTTTTTGAGACAGGGTTGCTCTGTAGACTACTAGACTGACCTCATACAGAGATTCGCCTACCTCTGCCTCTCGAGTGCTGGGATTAAAGGCGTGTGCCACCACCGCCCATCTTATTTTAAAAAACTCTAGATTTCTTTATTTTTGTGTGTGTGAGTATTTACCTGCTTGCATGCAGATATGTGTATCATGTCACACCTGATGTCCTTGCAGATCATAAGAGGGCAGAAGATCCCTTAGAATTGGAATAGGAATAGTTGTAAATAATAGGAATCCAAACATACTAGGAACCCAATTCTGGCCAGAGCAGCAAGTGCTCTTAATTGCTGAACCATCTCTTCAACCCCTTAGATTCATTTTAAATGCAATTTCATGCTATTTATGACTTTTTAAATTATTTCAATTTTCATGGATAATTTTGCCTTTGTCTAGTGAAAATGGACAAATTTAAAACTGAAATTTATAAAAAGGAATGATAGAAATTATAAGAAGAAGTGGCAAGAAACTTCACGATCCCTTTTTTCTTTAAATTTAAATTATTTGGAGGCAGGGCACACATGGCATGGTGTCCATGTAGATATCCAACCTGGGAGAATTACTTTTTCTACCATGTGGGTCCTGGGGATCAAACTTGGGTTATCAGGCTTGGTGACAAGCACCAATGAGCCATATTGTCAGCCCATGTACCATTTCATATTATGTTTCTCACATACTCATTAAGGCTTTATACCAACACCTGTTGTTGTGTTCTGTTTCTCTGAGATGGGTCTCACTATATATGTTGTCAGTCTGATTGCGACATCCTCCTTCACAGTGCTAGGTTATGAGTGTGCGCCTCCAGACCCAGCTGTGGTACCTGCTGCTAAGAAACTGCCGTTGTTGTGGGTAACTTTTAACAGCAGAAGGTGAAGTATATGTGAGAATGGAACTAAGTGCACGCTCTAGATCTCTAGAAGGGCCTAACTGAGCTAAATGCAAAGCAGTAAGAATTTGGAGCTCAAACACTAGAATCCCAAAATTCACAGGACTGCTTAGCAGATATTATGGATTTCCAACAGAGATTTTGTTTCAAAACCTAACTTGAGCAAATAATGAGTTATATTCCATGACTTCATGTTTTTAGGCTTGGTGATAGGTAAGAGTTGGGCAGCCTCCCTTGATTAATTAAAAAGTCAGTGGTTTCTGATTCTGCTGTAGGCTCTGTTATAGATGGCTGAGCACTTAAGAGAACTTGTGGTGGGCTCTAGTACACACTGGAACCAAACTGTGAACCACACATCTGGAAGAACAGTTTGTGGCTGCAGAGTTTGGTACACTTTAAGAGTTGAACATTTTGTACTCAAGAAAATTTGGCTGTTTTATTTTTGAGACAGTCATTACTTTGTAGCCCAGGTTTCTGGAACTCATGTAGTCCATGCTGGCCTTGAACTCAAAGCAGTTCTTTCAGCCTGGGTATTAATAGAGCTGTGAACCACCATGTTCAAGACAACTTAATTTTAGAAGATAATATTTTAATCCTAAATTGATTATACCTCTACATCAGGAATTATATAGTATTCTAGAACTACACAGTAAAGACATAGCAGAACCAAGCAAAATTTCATTATCTTAATGATTTTTTTCTTCATTTGTACAAAGTATCAAGTTTTCAGTAGAAAAAAAAACATTTAATTGGAAAAAAAATTGCGAGTTGCTCTGTAGTGGTGGTGCATGCCTTTAATCTCAGTCTGGGGATGCAGAGGCAGGAGGATCTCTGTGGGTTAGAGGCCAGCCTGGTCTACCGAGTGAGTTCCAGGATAGCCAGGACTACACAGAGAAACTCTGTCTTGAAAAACAAAAAAACCAAAAAACAAAAAGGAGGGGGGAAGAATTGCTTATCTAAAATTCTTTTAGACATCAAGTTGTTTGTTTCTGTTATAAGAAATTCAAGCAAAAAATATAAAATGCTTAAGATTGCATTAAATTAAAAATATTATGATAATATGTATATGCACCACTTTTGTGCCTGGTGCCTGAGGGAGGATGTCAGATTAACTGCCACCATGTGGGTACTGGAAACCAACCTTGGTCCTCTGCAAGGGCAGCAAGTGCTCTTAACCTCTGAAAAGTCTTTCCAGCCTCTGAAACCAAATTTTTTTTGTCTGATGATTTGTCTCACATTGAGAGGAGAAACTGTTGCTTTTCCACAAAAAGGTAGATACAGTGGGTTCCCCTTTCCCCCTTTTAGGTACATTAGCCATCTTATCACTAAAAGCAAAAAACAAAAACAAAAACAAAACAAAACTGTTTTTCTCCTCTCTAGTAAGTATAAACAAAACATACTTTGTTGTTTGGTTTTTCAAGATAGGATTTCTTTGTGTAATGGCTTGACTGTCCTGGAACTTGCTTTGTAAACCAGATTGGCCTCGAGATCCACCTGCCTATGCCTTAAAACATACTTAAGTACTCAATATAGGAGAAAGTTTGAGTATCTTAAATTTTGACCTTTTCATTGTCCTAGGCTTCCTTTTTCTAGCTTGGTGAATCACACTCGGCGTTTTGGAATTGTCATGTACTGTGGAATCCATCCATTGTCATTTCTTTCTTCAGGCATTCATTATCATGTTTGCATTTTAATTCCAAGATTTTATAAAACTGTTTTAATTATATTCTATAGAGGGAAGGAAGAAATTTTTTTGACAAATATTAAAAGTAGTTTTATTTCTTGCTTTGAGACATGGTTTCACTATTCCAGCCCTAGTTGGCCTCGATCTTGGAAATCTGCTCCCTCCTTCCATCCCCTCTCAGGTGCTGGGATTACAGGTATATTATATTGCCACCACACTCAACAGTTTGAGCACTAACTTCAACTTTGTGGGTGCTGGAACTGTAGGTGTGGACCACAAATTACTGTTGACCCTTTTTTTGTTGTTGTTGTGTATATGTCTATTTCTGCCACCCCTGAGTTATATAACAAAATAAGCTGATGAAGCCATGGAGAGCAAGCCAGTAAGCAGCATTCATTCCTCCATGACCTCTGCTTGGAGTTCCTACGCTGACTTCCCTTCATGATGACTGTAATTGGGCTGAGTAATTCAGATAAATCCTTTCCCTCCAAGTTGCTTTTGTTGTGGTATTTTGTCATAGCAATAAAAAGCAAACTAGTACAAGGCTTATGAGGTATTGCAGTGACAGACTTGGCTGTGTTGTTTTGGGGAGGATCATGAAGAAGTTTGGAATGTTGGGCTAGAATGTTGAGTGCTCAGAGCTTAATGAACTGTTAAGAGAATTTGGAGGATAAGAATGCTGAGAGCAATGCAGACAATAGAGACTTGGTTTGTGATGTGTCAAGAAAAGTTTGGGAGTACCACAAATTTTCCATCAGAGCTGCTTGTGTGATATATTTGAATTGAGAATCTGGTTTTGCTGGGCGGTGGTGGAGCATGCCTTTAGTCCTAACTAACACTTGGGAGGCAGAGACAGGTGCTTTTAGTTCGAAGATAGCCTGGTCTACAGAGTGAGTTCCAGGACAACCAGGGCTATTCAAAGAAACCCTGTCTTGAAAAATAAACAACGAGGGCTGGAGAGATGGCTCAGTGGTTAAGAGCATTGCTTGCTCTTCCAAAGGTCATGAGTTCAATTCCCAGCAACCACATGGTGGCTCACAACCATCTGTAAAGAGGTCTGGTGCCCTCTTCTGGCCTGCAGACATACACACAGATAGAATATTGTATACATAATAAATAAATATTTAAAAAAAAAAAAAGAAAAATAAACAACGAATATGTGGTTTCTGATTAGCTGGGGCTAAAGAATCAGCTGTGACTAACAAGAAACTAGTGCCACTGAAAACTACACTTTTGTTTCACTGGCACAGTTGAAATTGTCTGCAACAATAAAAAACTGCTGTGACTAAGAAATCAGCATCATTGAGGCTAAATCTTCTGGGAAGTATTTCCTCATGATCAGCACACAGAAGCTGCGATGATCCATAGGTACAAGGCTGTATGTTAAGTTGGCAGCTGAACTTGGTAATGTGCAAGTTTCCCACATAGTACTGATTTTGAAGGAATGAAGGGGATCATGGAGATCATAGGCTTGTCCCTGTTTGATAGTGTTGGAGCCTCAGTTGTGTGAAAATATTGGAGGGGTTGTAGAGAGAGGCTGAGACTTGACACTATGTGGCAGGGTTAGAGTCCCTGAAAAGAGTCCAGGAGAGGCCATTAGTGAAGGTGTGCAGCTATAGTGAAGGCCCCAGCGTATTGTAGATTCCAGGACAATGAACAATCATTAAAAGATAGTAGCAGTGTGTGCTGAGAATAGCAAAACCAGAGAAGTGGATCTTCCCAAACTCTTTGGAACCCAGAAGTCTGTGAGTGAATCCCAGATGCCAGTCATTGAGTTACAGGATTTAATTTTTTCTGCTGAATCTTTATTTTCCTTTTATTTGATTGTGGTTGTTCCCTGGCTCTTCCCTCTTGAAATAGGAACTTATTTTTGATTTTACAGGGGCCCAAAGTTG